TTAACTCATCTGGTCAGTGGATTGGTCCAAAGGTGGCCGGATAGGTGTAGACTTTTGCACATCTTGAGTCCCATGTGCCTGACTAACAGTAACAACTTACTCGATTTGATGAGGCGGTAGAAACACAATAGAAATATTTCTGCCCGTTACATCAATGATGGGTTCTAGGGCAGGTGAAGTCTGCAATGTCTCCCCCGCCTCCACGAAAAGAGGTTCTATAGACGGGAAACTTTTATCATGAGCATTGTGTGGAGGCTGAATGGTTTACATATTACCCGCGAGGATAGTGACATCTTTAGGAGTATACTTTTGATGATCAATAGTGTCAATAACTTGGAGCAGATCAGGAGGAGAGAGAATCACTGCCTTTTGCTGAGTATTTTACTTCTTTGGTCTGAGATGAGGGTGTAGATGTTGACATTGAGAAATGGAGTGACCGAACAAACGACAATTTGAGTAATACGAAGGGAAAGACTCAATCATAATATTTTGTCAATATCCATAGTGTTGTGTGTCTAACCAAATTTCCTCAGAAGCGATTGAATTGATGTCCCTTTCAACAAGTTCCCTGGCTTCAGAGGGACGTAAAATATTAAAAGTAGGAATATCCGTTTTGAGTAGCTTACCATAGACTGAGGCAATAAATTACAACACTTTTTGAGTAAAATAATGAAATTTCAGGTCAGAGAGGCGAATCCAGACCAGAATGATTATTGGTTTCGTCTGTGGGTCAAAATCCACCGATCATTTCAAAATCTTCATTGCTCTATTATCAATCATGATTAATCTTCTAGCAAACAAGCATGTATAATCCTCTTCATTATTAAGTTGAATAAGAACGCGCCTTCCATCTAAAAATCCAATTTTTCACTCCCCAACATGGCACATAAACTCACATTTCTTACGAATAAGCTCCATTTTGGGATGATTATAAAGAATTTTCCCAATCAAATTCAGACGACATGATAAAACAAGCTGATTACATTCAACTTCCGTAAAAAGATGGCTGGCTTCCCATTCTTCATTTTACCTTTTAAAAGTTAAAACAATGATATTTTTTATGTGATATAACAGATTATTAGCAAAATTTAGGTGTTAGATGTACAAGTACATAAGAATTAGGTATTATTTTTTATGTTTGTAGATGCCCTTTTTTATTGCTAAGATAAAGTTGACATGTTTGAAAGATATTGGCCGAATTTGGTATGTGGTCAACAATATTTGAGTCAATTAGCCAGGTACTTTATGAACTATTTCAAGCCTTAAAAGTATAAGGATTAGGAGTTTCACCATTTTGAAAATGATAGCATGACATAGATGATTTTTTTTAGAGAGTTAAATATCTTGTTCTTTTGCTTGGCTTTTTTATATTTTCAATGTGCTTGAGGTTGTCTATGAAGTTTCCAATAGATGCTATTCTTTTCTTGCTGTAGTTGCTTCGCAATTTGTCTTCATTGTGGAATTTTTTTATTTCGTTGTTAGTGGGTTTAGTGGTAATCGGCTCTTCATCTCAAGCTTCTATGGTTTCTGTAGCATCTCCTTGGAGTGGGGCGTTTATAACATAATGGTCATGTTTTCTTCTTCGGCTCGTATGAGGGAGGCAGTTTCATTAAAAGGCGAGGACTTTATACCTAAAATTTGAACGAGGATTGGATCAATTTTTACATTTAGTCCTTCAAGAAACTAAATAATCATTTTTCTTTTTATATGCTTCTTTAGAACCGCAACACTTTCATTTGAGATCTTTGTAGTAATCGGACTAACTAAAAAATCTTCATTGCCTTGAATCATTCAATGATAGATAAATTTTCTTGTTTGGTGGTTGTTAGTTTGTCTTCACCTAATAGATGAGAGTAGTATGATTAACCTTTGTGTATATTTATTTCTTGGAATCTCAAACTTCATTTTTTATTTAGAGGAACATTTAAGGCTCACTTATTTTGAGCAATATGGAGTTCCATAGACATGACGTGATTATGAAATCTCTTTAATCCCAGACTGCGAAATTTGGATCTTCACGATTCAAAGGAGGATCAATATGGAGGTGAAGTTTCGTTTTTCCTTAATGGAAGGCATTCTCAACTGAGGCCATTTTAGATAATTTCTTCCATTCAGTTAGCCGAAATGAGCATTTTAACCCCTGGGTTTTTTTTTTGATTGGGTGGGTCTGATTCCCATTATTCATGATGGTTGATTCTCTTATGGAGAAGTTAGAAGTCTCACACATAGTGGAGAAATGAATTAGGCTGAAGAAAATAGGTAGGAAGTTAGGACTCTAGCCGAGTGTCTTAGGGTCTGTTTGGGGCAACTATTGATTATTTATAATCTGCTAATAAGCAGATTATTCTGATAATCTGCAGATTATCAGAATAAGCTGGTTTGCTGTTTGGGGCAGCTTATTCAGAAGAATTTTTAGACAATTGTTGTTGGATAAATGACCATTCTGCCTCTGTTTGGTTAAGCTGTTTGCAACAGAATTGTATGAGTATAGAAATAGATAAAACAGAAGCCGCAAATCATTATAGATCAGTTCAAAAAATAAAATAGAGTGCTCACATGCTCGTACCACCTCTACTTTCGAGGGAAATATCATCTAGCTTCTTTGATATGTGATTCATTTTTCATAGATGAGAAATTTTAATATACATAATTGACACTTTCTGTTTGGACTAATAATATTAAGTAGGTAGATATGAACAAACATTTAAATAATATGCTATGAAAATTGGTTAGTTAGGAATGGCTTTACCAAAATTTCTTCAAAATTTTACCAAAACACTAGTTATGAAGATGTTCATAGCTATTATTCTTCTTTCACATCATTTTTATCCTTCCAAACTATTTGGAATCAAAACAATGAATTTTCATTATCTATTGTTTATGGGTGTTGCTTAACATGTTAAACCCATCAAGTACAGATGTTTTCATATGATTTTTATCCATATTACCTTTGACCCATTTAATCTACTTCATAATCCTTTCTCATTAACTGTATTTACCCTTCTAAATGTTACATCTTATGCTCAATTACTTCACAAGAAGACTGTTGTTAGCTTCAACCAAAATAATGCGACAGAAAAGCTACTAAGAGACCAATTTTTCAAATCCAAACTATTAGAAGTCATACAATTATATGTTTCAACAAAAGGGGACTTTAATCTCTTAAGAACATCCTCACAAAGGATCAAGGATATCTCATAACAAGCAATCTGCAAACCCAATCGGATCACTTTCCAATCGGATCACAAATCGGATCACTTTTTGCTCAGGGTATAATTTTGCTATGAATTGATTGATCAAGTGATAATTATACAAACTTCATTGATGGACTTGGTCAAAACAAACATTCTAACTTTCTCCATCAATGACTAAGATGAAAAATGATGTCCTGTAGCGCAGCCCAAGAAGAAAAATCAAAACCCAATAACGTCAAATAAGATGAGGATCTCTTCAGAAATTAGAAGCAAGGAAACGATTTCACAAAACTCAGTCGAAATCAAAACAAGGTGGACAATCTACCTCAAATAAAACCCCCTGCCCATCAACCAATCTATCAGGAAATTGAACATTTTAATATCATTCCAAGAATAAAATGTAGCTTGTTCTCAATAAATAATTAAACCAGTGGAAATTACAGAAGTTTATAAATTTAAGAGTGTTCCAATCGAGATCGACGAGTACAAAAAGAAAAAAAATAGAGAACCCAAACCTTGAGGCGTCGAGCTAGTACCTGCTCATTGGCGTAACCCATAACCACCGGCGGTAGCAGAGAGTGCATTTAGGAGGGAGAGGGCGGGGGAGGAGATCGGGGAGGGATAGGCTGAGGGAGGAGATTGGGGAGGGAGAGGGCGAGGGAGAGCGCGAGAGGGGCACGGGAGAAATTCTTTCCCCAAACGCCAGTCGCGGACGGCGGACGAGTGCCCTCGCGTTCGCTTCCTTATTACAAAATAATGGAAGCGTTTCGAAGCGGCAAGAAAACGCTCGCCGCTTTTTCCAAATGGTGCGGCAGCGTCTGCAAAATGCCGCCACACCCGAATAAGCTGCCCCAAACGGGCCCTTAATACCTCGCAGAAAAGAGAGCATGACAAAAGCTTGCATTTGATCTCTTTCATTCAAGGATAATTCACATATAAAGCTACCTAGGACACAATAGGAATATGTAGAATTCTAGGAAGGGAAGTTAATTGTAAAATCATGTGGATGCAGCTCATAGATTGAAGCCATGGACACTATTTCGTACAGTCCCTGTGGTGGAGGATGCCATATATGGCTGCAGAAGGAGGCTTGCGGCTTGATTTTCCTATTTAGATCCTGTGGTCTTTCAACAGTCGTAGTCTAGCTTTTGATACCTGAATGCTTCTCCTATAATCGATAATGGCATGGAAAAACAGCTGCTTGTTCACAAGTACATTCTTATGAAAAAACAATGGAGCTACATCATAGAGTTAAATAGTGGTGGGATTTAATTAATTATTGAATTAGGCAATTATTTTAAAGATACTGGGCTGTATTTTTTTTGGAGATATATCCCATTATTTAGCAATTTTTTTTTTGCAAATTTATTAGAATATTTTGCAATGATTTAGCCCTTTTGCCTTCACATTATAAATCAAATGCAATTCCACTCTCAAATGGGTGTTAGTAAAATATAAGAGAGAAATAAATTGGTAAGATATAAATGACCCAAGGTTATTTCTGTCGTTTAAACAATATAAAGAATGGGGTAAACATTGCAAGAAGAAAACAGGGGAGAAGTATGGATTGAAACTATTTATATGCTTTTAATTAAGCACAGCAAATATTTTGCATTGTCACTGTGCTGTTATACCTCATGATATTCCTTTTTATAATTAATTATTTTATTATCTATAGTTTTTTGTAACTTTCTCGTTATGCTTTGCATGATAAGTTAATCAACATCCTCTTTTGAAATTTGAAAGGCTGACTTCATACTTGTTTTATACTATAGCACACATCTCTTGTCTGTAATGTGGTTGTAGGTGGAAGAACTTATTCATAGGAAGAACATCAAAGAGGCTTCTAGTAAGGAAATGGAAGAATTTATTAAATTACTCGAGTCAGCGAAGGCTTTACCTCCTTGCTCTAAACCTTCTAAATGTTCATGGCTGAAGGAAGAGAAGTACAGAGAATGGATCACATCTCTTGAAGCTTATGCTATCGATGCTTGCAAAAATGACGAACAAAAGAAAACTGCTGGAAATGTGAGCAATCTATCTTAAGAAAACAGGTTAACAATTCTTTTTAACTTAAAGGCACAGTAAAAAAAAAGGGAAGATTTACATACATACCACTCAATTCCTATGTATTTACATATCTAACTTTTAAACTTATATTTTTACTTAAATGCCACCTTACCTATGCATGAAAGAGTGACTTTTAAAAAATTAAAAAGGTGGTATTCATGATTTGATATGAAATATTCGGGTTGTATAAATGTAAAAAGTAATGTTTAAGTTCTAAATAAATAAACAAATAGGAATTGGATGGCATGTGCGTAAATGCCAACACCACCATCTCCCCCCGCCCCTGCCTCCCAAACCGAAAAAGAAAAAAAAAAAAAGAGTCTTAAGTCGTTCTTAGAGGGGCTACTAGGGTTGCTGTACTCCTTTTATTGTTTATGTTTGAATTTTTGCTGAAAGCTAAAAGCTAAATCATTTATTGTTCTCTTTTTATTTTTCCTCTTTTGGGAATTGATTACATCAACATCTATTCATGAAGTTAAATTATTGATTACTATTTGAAGTCGCATGGTCTACCAAAATGTCAGCATTTTATTTATTTATTTATTTTTTGGAGTAATGTTAAACAGTCAGGAAAATTCACAAATTTCATAACACATTGTTGCTTCAGTAATTGGACCCAACAACCTCAACATAGGAATACCCATTCACCCTTCATTAGGTATTAAAACATTTATTAAACCAAGAACTTGTCTGCGATGATGCATGTTCTGGTCATTTATGACTAATTTTTAAATAAAACACATTAAAATGATTTCAGCATGATTTACAGCAAATATTATGAATTTAACTGCTGTATGTAATTTATTTTGACTTGGAATATCTGCGGTTAGATTGATTGACCTCTGTTAAGATTGTTATTAGTTTGGTTGTTTTAAACTGAAAATTCTGTCAGCAAAATTTTCTAAATTTTGTTCCTTTTTATTTTTGTGTGCATCAGATTTAAGTTGATTAGTTATTTTGAATATATACCGATCTTTAGTTTCATCATATTCTGACTTAAATTACTTAATTTTAATTGGGCGCCATTGAGATAGATTCTCAAGGGAATGGGATTATCAAAAACTTCATCTACCGCGGTTGATCTTCTTATCGATATTGGCTATTTTCCAGTTCATGTTAATCTTGATCTGTTGAAGTATAACATCGATACTGAACAAAGTGAGGTAGTATTATTGGCTGTTGAAAATCTTTTATCAACTTCTACCGACATTGATGAGGTAAAATTGTAATTGTCTATATGCATTTCTTCTGAACCTTTTTAATCCACAATTTATTTTCCTCCTTTCCTTGATTTTTTTTTTGGTTAATTTTAGGGTATCAGAAAAGATCTATCATCCTTGAAAGTGTATGCCATTGATGTTGATGAAGCTGATGAGGCAAGTATTCATTGAAGCATTCTATGACATATTTGAATAAGCTTGGGAGTTGTTTAGAAAATGCTGCTTAGTGGCAACTTTCTATTATATTAAGGGGAATTTACATACATAATAATCAATTCCTATGTATTTGTATATCTAACACCTAAATTTCAGTTGTTACAATTACACCACCCAAAACTTTTATATTATATAAAAAATACCACCATTTTAATTTTTAAAAAGTGAAATATACATTTTCATGCTATGGTGGCATATATGTACAAATTGAAGTTTAGGTGTTTGATATGTAAATATTTAGGAATTGAGTGGTATGTATGTCAGTCTTACTTATAATTATTGTATTGGTGGTGATCTAGCTTGATGATGCATTGAGCGCTATGAAATTACCAGATGGTAAGATCAAGATCTGGATACATGTTGCAGATCCTGCTTGTTTAGTTGAGCCTCGGAGCGTAATTGACAGGTTGTTCAACTGTAATTATTAAGCTCTAAAAAGACATTTTTTAGTTGAACAGAATTTATTTAACATTTTCTTACTTTATAGGGAGGCAATGAGAAAAGGAACCTCTATTTTTTTGCCCACTGCTACCTTTCCAATGTTCCCTGAAAAACTTGCTATGGATGGTATGAGTTTGCAGCAAGGAAAGCTCTGCAAGGCTGTTAGTGTGTCTGTAACTCTCCATCAAGATGGAAGGTAAGTTTGCATCTTGTATTTGAAATGGTGGATTTCAATAATACGATCCTTTCTAATGAAAGTATTTTTGGAAAAACTTATATTTATACCAAAACCTCTAAAACCCTAATGAATAATTGCTTTACAGTATTGCAGACTACACAATATATAACTCCATCATAAGGCCAACCTACATGTTGACCTATGAGAGCGCATCAGAGTTGCTTCACTTAGGTTTGGAAGAGGAGGCTGAACTGCGAATTTTATCTGAGGCAGCTTCTCTTCGTTTACAATGGCGTCGTAACCAGGTTATGTTCGTAAATATGAAAATTTTATGGCATGCGAAATGAGAATGCTATTTGCATGCACTTTTCCTTGAGCAAATGTTAATTTTCCAACTCTGATATATTTGTGGAGTATTGGCTTTTGCTTTTTTACCTAGTTGCACCATGTTAAACCAGATAAGAAAATTGTATTTACGGTTGGCATTTTGGAACTGTTTGTTATATTTACCCAAATGAAAATTTTCCTTTATATTACCCTAATCACACTTCGGATTTTTCACCTTGTTTGGCCTTCTATGATATAATCCAAAATCTCTACACCCTAAAAAGTACCGTTTTTCTGTTAATTAAAAAAACAATAGTGAATGTGAATATGATTCTTATTCTAATTATAATATTAACTTTAGCGAGTTTTTATGGATTTTATCTAAATCAGTACGAGTTTGAGGTGATGTGTGATATATGGAGCTTTATTTTTCATTGATTGCCTGTGGAATAGTATTTGTGGCTGATCCTTAGAGGAAGCTTTAACTTCTTACCCAAGTAGCACAGAACATTCATTGTGATTGATTTTTCAATTCAAATATTATCTATTGATTTTGTGGGAATATAATATAATATCTAACTTTATTTTTCATCATTCGTGTTTGGAATCGAATGTCTTCGTTTGTTTGGCATTAAGGTTACTGGATGGTGTTTTGGATTGGAATTAGTTCAGTTTTTTTGGTTTAACCTAGTTTGATTTGATCTGATCTGCTTTGGTATGCTATACTGTATAGGAGAGAAGAATTACTGGTTACCCGTTTCTAATTATTTTTTTTTTGTTGACCGGCTCGAACTAAATCACTTATAGCCTAATTCAATTTATTTTAGTTTTAATTGATTTTCCTTAACCTGAATACTAAACCAATTTTAGTCAATTAGTTCGTGCAAAATTAAAAATCAAATCAAATTAAACTTAAACAAACCTATTAGGCCTAATACTTCTGATTTGGTTTGGTTTGCTTTCTCATTCAAATAACTTATTAGTATACCCATTTTCCCTATTTTCTGTCTCGAAATGCACAATCAACACTTCTTAGATGAAAAAGCTTAAGAATGGATTTTTTATTTTTCTTAGATACTTCTTAGATAACATTGTCTTTGCCGGGTCCTAAGTCTGGATGTAAAAAGTGCAGAGTTGTGTTAGATGGTCGATAGTTAGCTTAAAGTTTTTATCGAAAAATCTTGACATGAATCATTTAAATCATTGTGTAAATGCTAGAACATCCCTTGGAAACAATGTGTTGTTTGACCTGAATATAGTGAAAAATGTTTAGGGGCCGTTACACCGGTGCCTGAGTGTAGTATCAAATAGGCAAGTGTTTCCACATTATGGACAAATAAGGACAAAAAAAATTAATCCATGTTACTCATATTAGGATATGCTACTGGATTATAGGTATTCCCACAGATAAATTAATGACATTAGTAGATATTATAGTCTATAGGAAGATAAATATCTTATGCATTCAAGAAAATAAATGGGTTGGAGAAAAGATTAAGGAGATTAATAGCTTAGGTTTTTAACTTTGGTATTCAGGCAGGAGTCGCACAGGAAATGGTGTCCGTATAATTATAGATAAAAGTTTGAAAAATATAAAAATTAATAGAATTTGAGGTATAATTATAACTTTAAAGATTGTTGTTGATGCTAAGATTTTTAATGTTATAAGTTCTTGTGCTCAAGTAGGTTTAATTATGTTTAAAAGATAAATTTTGGAATAATTTAGAAGAATTTATATAAATGATACATCTTACATATAGAATTTTTAGCGGAGGAGATTTAAGTGGATATGTTGGTAGAGTGGTAGAAAATTTTAGAAATATTTATGGCAATGTTGACCTCATTTTGAGGTTGTTACTCTTTTCCTTAGAAGCCTAGAATCTAGCTCTAGGGGTTCCTATTGACTATCTTAGAAAACTAGTATTAGAATCCATCCCCTTAAAAATTCCAGTCACTTCCTATTTCTCTTGTGATGTCTCACATTAATGATGATCTCAAAAATCTCAAAACCATCGTCGTATGGTCGAGTGGTTAAGGACTATCATGTGAAGACTCATCGAGAAGTTCCCAATAAGATTTCAAGCCCTAGGAAAACTTCTTCAGGACTTTATCATCACACGCACACACAAAATGCACAAAATTTACTAAGTTGCACGAGATTGGACTAAAATTGAGCTTAAAAAATGAGTGAAAATGAGAACTTCTCCGGACGACCTCCGATGACGAAATGAACTGCTCTAACGCGTCCGGGACACCAATTTTAGCAAGAAAAAACACCCATATTGCCATTCTAACGCGTCCGGGGTACCAATTTTAGCAAGAAAAAACACCCATATTGCCATAATTTTTGAACACAAGAAATTTGCCCGCAAATCGATGAATTCGTCAAAACGACCTCCGACGACGAAACAGATCACACCAACACGTCCAGAACTTCAGAATTACCTAAAAAGGACATCCATTTTGTTATGTTTTGACGCACGAATAAAAATGTATGAATGAAATTTTATTTTTAAAAATATTAAATATTTGATATATTTATATTACTGATTATAATAAAATTTATAACCCTAAACCCTATTTACACCTTACCCGCACACTTAGCTCTTCGTTCGACCCACCCCGCGGCTCGATCATCCGTTCGGCTCGTCAATGTGTGCCCTAGAGCCCGTCGCTCATCCACACGACGATCTCCCTCTCTCTCGACTCTTCTCCTTCCTCGCGTGGCCGCTCGACCTCTTAACTCTCCAATCGTGGGAGCTCGGCTGGCCGACCCTTGTGCTTTTCGAGGCTTTACTTTCTCCTCCTTTATGGTGACGATTCACTCCCGTTGTTTTATTCGACCATAAAACGGTGGTGGGCGGCGGTTCCCCCTTCACCTATGCCACTTCATAAATTAATGTTTTGTGTTGTTGAAAATTTTAAGAGAGAAATGAAGGCTGAGCGGTGGTGGGCGGCGGTTCCCCCTTCATCTATGCCTATAAAAAAACTTCATAAATTAATGTTTTGGGTTGTTGAAAATTTTAAGAGAGAAATGAAGGCTGAGATTGTTTTCATAGTTGCTGTTTAAGGCTCTTAGGGGGAGGCTCTGCCGAAATTCCTTCTTGGCTAGGTTCTTGTGTGTTGGAGTGTTCGTTAGTTGCTGTTTCTCGAAGCTTTTAGAAGAAGGGTTTCTATAAGAGGTGTTTTCTTGAATCTGTCTACAGTTTTGCTTTGAGTCTGCATTAAGAGGTATTTTTCTTCTTTCCTTTAATCTGCACCATTTCGAATGACATCTAAAAGTATTCATTTTCTCTTCTAAAGCATGTGAAGATAAGTTTTAGGCCTGTTTTAAGATCTAGTCATGGATACTTGCTAGAATCAGTAAAAATAAAGCATAATATGGATATGTTTCTCTTCTTCTGCTAAAAAATGCATGATAGATAGAATTTTGGAACATTACGGTTGTTGCCATGAGATGATAGTTGCCTATTTGAGCTACATGATAAATGAAATGTTGGTTCAAGACTTGATTCTTAAGCTTTTTGTTATTATCACCCATGTTCAAATATATGCTGGAATTCGCTTATGCTTATTTGTTCCCTGTCCCTGTTCAAAGTATATGCTGGATGCAAATTTGGAGTTTTAAGATTTTGTGGAATCTGATTCTTGGTGGTTCTGTTTTGGCCCATTTGGTGGGCTCGATTTTAGCTTTTTTTGGATTAAACGTTAGCTGGAAATTTTGCCCTGTTTTGACCCATTTAATAGGCTTTGTTTTGGTTTCTTTTGGATTAAAAGCTAGCTGGAAATTCTGCCCTGTTTTGCTCATTTGGTGGGCTCGGTTTGGCCTGAGGTTTGGGCTCGGTTTTGCATGAGATTTGGCTTGATATGCTCCCTTTGCTGAGCTCAGTTTATCTGTCATAATTCTTTCTGTTGCCCCTGTGCTGTGCTCGGTTTGCCCCTGTGCTGGGTTTGATTTTGGCTCTTTTGGGTTGAACTCACGCTGGAAATGCTGATATGTTTTCCCCATTTGTTGGGTGCGGTTTTGGCTTAAATTATATTCTTTTCTTTAACCTTTATGTTGGGTTTAATTTGGTTTGAGAGAAGGAATGAATTTGGCTAAAAAATTTATCTGTTATTGGCTCTCTTTTGCTGGGTATAGTTGAGCTAAAGCTGTATTCTGATTTGCCCCTATGCTGGGCTCAGTTTGCTTTTTTGGTGGGCTCGGTTTGACTTCTTTTGGGATTGTGTTTTGGCTGGAATTCCTTTCTGTTTTAGCTTCTTTGGTGGGCTCGATTTAGCCCTTTGCTGGGCTCGGTTTGGTCGAAAGCTTTTGATATAACGTTTCTCCTGAGATTTTTATTGGTAATCAAGTTTGTCATCCCAAAATTCATGATTTCAATATCTACTTCTATATGTGAATGTTTGATATAAATAGATCAATTCACTATCATGTCTTGCTCAACAAAATGGTTTTAATCTAGATAATTTATGTGAATTTGTCCATTCACTCTCTTATGTAGATCAAAGGAGTACAATGTCCTAGCTGGTTTCCTTTTGTCGGCCGCTCTCTGCTACCCCTGGCCGTGAGCCTTCACCTGTAGCTCTTTTATGTTGAATATGTTTGATTTGGGGCTTGGCTTTCTCCTCGCGCCGTGAGCCTTACTGTTGTGGTTTCTTGGTTTGTGCCGTGGTTGGTTTGGGGCTTGGTTTTCTCCTCGCTGCCCCTGGCCGTGAGCCTCGTGAGTCTTACTGTTGTGGTTTCTTGGTTTGTGCCGTGGTTGGTTTGGGGCTTGGTTTTCTCCTTTTTCTCCTCGCTGCCCCTGGTTACTGTCGTGGTTCCTTGGTTTGTGACATGGTTGGTTCGGTTGGTTTGGACTTAGCTTTCTCTTAGCTTTCTCCTTATTTCCCTTGGCTGTGAACTTTCTCTTGTGGCTCTTTTATGTTGAATATGGTTGGTTAAGGCTTGACTTTCTCCTTGTTGCCCCTAACTGCGGGC